TGCGCGCAACAAACAAGAATTAATTGCTTGCAAAGTCAAGGAAGTTTTGAAACTGCCAATATCAATAACACGGCGTTGTGTTCTACCGTCGTCGGGTACTTCACGTCTACCACCACTAGTAAGGGAACAAAAGGCCGCTTCGAACACATTAACAAATAGTTCGGCTTCCCCTTCGCACCAACACACAAAAACAAAGTAATCGCACCACAACTTTACGACGTCTCCTGCTTACAATGGAGGATGACATACGGGAGCTCCAGCCAGAAGCTGTAGATGCTGCGATCGGTGAAATGAAGATTGAGGAGGGGATTGAGGTTCAAGATTTTGCCAATGGCTTAAATGGATATATTTCTACTCCTACAGAAATCAAGAGGTCTCACTCCAGTACACCGGGTCTTGTAAATTCTCGCTCTCAAACACCGCCCAGAAAGCAAAGCACCAGCCAAACACCAAAATCAGGAGATGGAGAGGATGAAGAGATTATTGGCGGTGATATTACCGTCACCGTCGAACCTGGCAAAGCACCAAAGTTGTCGAGAAAGTCGTCACAAAAAGTAATTCCTCGACCACCCCCTCTCTTCAACGATCTTCCAGATTCTACAGAAGAGGCAGCTTCAGTTTTTCAGGTAATCAAGGATTGTATTTATGGAGCTAAGCATATGGGGGCTTCAGATCACGATGCGTTGGATTGTGATTGTCCCGAGGAATTCAGTAAGTCTACAAATATACTCCAAGTACTTTCTTTACTTTACGTACCATCGGTCGCAAAATGACCACTTCAGCTGACATGTTTTATCAGGCGATGGAAAAAATCATGCCTGCGGAGAGGATTCAGATTGCATTAATCGACTGACCAAGATGGAATGTGGTGGAGGTCATAAAGATTGCAATTGTGGTGTGGCTTGTCAAAATCAACGCTTTCAACGCAAACAGTATGCCAAAGTTTCAGTGATCAAGACAGATAAAAAGGGTTACGGATTACGCGCAAATACTGATCTACATCCTGATGATTTCATCTTCGAGTACATCGGAGAAGTTATCAATGAACCGACATTTCGGCGACGTACCGTCCAATATGATCAGGAAGGAATCAAACATTTCTATTTCATGTCTCTTACGAAGCATGAATTCGTGGATGCAACGAAAAAAGGAAACCTAGGTCGCTTTTGCAATCACTCTTGTAATCCAAATTGCTATGTCGATAAGTGGGTGGTCGGAGAAAAGCTGCGCATGGGCATTTTTGCCGAGCGTTCAATCAAAGCCGGAGAAGAGCTGGTCTTTAATTATAATGTTGATCGATATGGTGCCGACCCTCAACCTTGCTATTGCGGCGAACCAAATTGTACCGGATTCATTGGAGGCAAGACTCAAACTGAGCGTGCTACCAAACTCCCTCATGCTACCATTGAAGCTCTTGGTATCGATGATGGTGATGGTTGGGATACAGCTGTTGCCAAGAAACCCCGGAAAAAGAAGACAGGTGAGGATGATGAAGAATATGTTAACAACGTTCAACCAAAGGGCCTCGATGAAAATGGAGTGCGAAAGGTTATGGCAACTCTTATGCAATGCAAAGAAAAATGGATCGCTGTCAAATTGCTTGGTCGAATCCAACGTTGCGATGATGATAGAGTTCGAAACAGAGTTATACAAATGCACGGTTATCAAATTCTTCGCACGACCTTGACTACTTGGAAGGAAGACAACAACGTGATCCTCCAAGTTCTCGATATTCTTTACAAATTTCCACGACTTACTCGAAATAAAATTGTTGATTCCAAGATCGAAGCGGTCCTAGAAGATTTCACAACTTCTGAGCATGAAGACATTGCTTTCGAGTCAAAGAGGCTATTGGAAGCATGGAGCAAGTTGGAGCATGCGTATCGAATTCCAAGAAGAGCCCCAACTCTTGTTGCACAAGTATTTGAACGGCGTCCAGATCAAGTAGAAAAAGTCACTCCATCACCATCCCCTGTCATTGTTGCCCCGACTGGCCCCCGAAGTGGTGTTCCTCAACGCAACGCCAACTTTGTTCCAAATCGCCCAATGTCTCGGCGCCCTTTTGTCCCCATGGTATTACCACCTGGCTGGTTTACTGCGATGGATCAAAACGGGAATGCTTATTATTATAGTAAGACGGGACAGACAACATGGGAGAGGCCATTCATGCCAGCGGGTGTATCACCACCACCGCCACCACCCAAGGCAGCTCCAAAGAGTGTGCAAACACAAAAAGCTCTTCAAGATATCATCGACAGTATTACAAAGGAACCTTCGACAACTCCGGCACTTTCTTCCCATTCCGCCGAGGGTACACCCAAGGAAAAGAAGAAGCCTGTAGAAAAGTGGCGCTCGTTGCCCATCGAGAAGCAGATGAAACTGTACGAAAATACTGTATGTATAACCTGTTACTTCTCTTCATATTAAGTTTGTTGAATATTCTTTACTAACTTCTTATTATAGCTATTTCCTCATATAAAACACGTAATGCAAAAATATTCTGGCAAACTTCCCAAGGACGACCTCAAGAAATTCGCCAAGGAATGTGGGAAAAAGCTCGTGGCTTCTGATTTCAAAAACCATCGCATCGAAGACCCCACAAAAATATCCGACAGGAATCAAAAGAAAGTCAAGCAATTTGTGTTCGACTATTTTAAGAAGGCTGTGGAGAAGAAAAGGGAAATGGATGAAAAGCGAGCGGAAAGGAAAAAGCACGAAGGGCAGGCTAAAATTAATGGAAATGGCACAAGCGAAAAGGGGACAAAGCGAGAGAATGCAAACTCGATTGTCAGTCCAGATGTGATTGATGATGAGGACGTGGAAGTCAATATACCAAGTCCAACCGCATCACCCAGTGGACAACTCGAAATAGAGTTGTTGAAGAGGAAGAGGGAAGATGACGAGGAAAGTCCATCGGAAAGCAAGAGGGTCAAGGAGGATGGTACTGAAAGTGCAACACCAACAGATTCATCTACACCTCCTCCGCCTCCTCCGCCGCCGCCCGCGGAAGGGATGCCTATGACAGGACCGGAAGATCTGGAGATGGCTAATGGTGAGGGAGAGGGAGAGGGAGAGGCGAAGGAAGAAACGGAAGAGGAAAGAGAATTAAGGATGCAAGAAGAAGATTTAATGAGGGAGAATGAAGAGGCTATGAAGATGGAGATGGAAGTGGATACTGATGGAAGGTTGAAGGGGAATAATGGCTGTAGTCAGCATATCAATGGTGCAAATAGTGGTGGGGAAATCTCGACGGAGGGATAACATTTATTGCCAATGGAGGGACATAAAATTGGGAACCGCCTGTATCAACATCATCATTATCTTCATTCAAAAAAATTCATCGGCATCGCATCGCATTAGGGGTCGGTCATATCATATTTATCATATGGATAGGGAGCGCGCTAAGTGAGTTTGGCGTTTACAATTTCTTCATCTCGTATTGGAGATCGAGAGATGATCATCATCTTAGATCAAAAGGATAGTTTGAAAGGATAGTCACAGAGTAAATACATCCTGCTATTCCGCATACAGTAAAGGAGAGTAGGCTATTTAGATACTAGGTCGTACGTAAATGGAAATCAAGTGAGTTGTAATGATAATTTATTAATCAATTGGCTTTTGTGAATACGATATGCGTGTATGGAGTTGAGGGGGATATTGGTCCATTCTCTTCTGCGAAATTTTAATTCCTTATCGTCGTACTAGGTAGGCTTCTTTTCCTAAGACTTCTGGGTCTAGATACCTACCCAGACGCGATTCGATTCACCTGTGTTTTCCATACAGAGGAATCTTCTAACATTCTGAGATGCGCATCTCGAATGCAGAGTTCTCGTGCGCGGTGTGGAAAATGTGATGGATGTGATGGAATGGAATGGGAAATGTGTATGTATCTAGGTCAACTGTCAGACCTAAACTATCTTCTCCTTTTCCTGTCTCTCGGTTTCTTGTATGCATACATGCAGCTTCTCCATCTCCAAAATGAAGAAACACAAAGTTTGGTTTCTCATACTATAATGGGGGATCAGAGATCGGAGGAATATACAGATCTCTACGTCTCTCTCTTCGTATCCTGTCTGTCGATTTCTGCTGTTCTATATTGTCATTATTTCGATTATGGGATTCGAAAGGCAGCGGGACAGCGGGACAGCGGGATTGATGAGATTGATGAGATAGGTAGGTAGGGAAGATTGAATACAGATGCGGAGTGCGTATTTTGATGCTTCTGTTTGAACTTTGTGGTGAATGAAATATGGGAATGAGTGAAAAATGAAAGATCTTTATATATGAAATATTGTGTGATGAATTCCGATTCGGTTGTAGTGAGATCTATTTGATTGGGAGTAACACGCATGTTGCATGTATATGAGTAACTAGGTAACTAGGTAATTTGATATATTCAAATCCGAGTAAAAGATTTCCGTCCTCAAATTCTATCCAACGATCATCAAGCAAACTGCGTCTGAACTCTCTTCAGCGATCCCAAGAACTTCCCTCGCCTTTCCGCATCTGCGCTGCATTACTACCAGGGACACATAGACAGAAAATAAAACCTTGAATCAACCCTCAAATGCACCAAAACGATCTCCGACCGAAATAGTGAATAAAATGCTTCCCCCTGCAATCCCGTCGTAAAAGGATTTTTCACCGTCTTTCTGCTTCATCCCCTGATAAACCGGACTACTCAAAATTAAGTACCTAGATATTTCTTCTCCTTCCTCTCTCATCTACTCTATCGCTAATAAATGGCGATGAACTCCCCGCCCCTGAATAGTTTGCGTAAGCGATTCTGGGCGTTATTTCGCAGGTTCACGAAGTGAATGACGCGAGTGGATATTCCTCGTGTTCTTATTAGTTTGTAAGAATTGAGACATGGAAGATGTGGTAATGTGATGGGCTTCTCTTCTTCCTTTGAGCTCTTGTGATTTCAGAACAGCCCGAATCATTATTGTTCCTGAGAAAGAAAAGTTCCAATTCGTTTGGGAGATTAGAATATAGAGATGCTATTGATTCTGAACTGTTCCATAAAAGTCGAACCAATCCAACCATTCCATTCCAGTCGTATCACCTTGCTGCAAGTTCGTTGGACTTATCCCTAGATTAACTTCTTCATTGTCGAACAATTCGACGATCTGGTGATCTGACATGGTAGAGAATTGAAGCGGCTCGATGAAACCGGGCTCTAGTCTTGGTTCCTGCGCCTCTTGGGCAGTATTGCGTCCTACCTGTTCATAATCGACAACAGATAGAACAGATGGAGCAGATCGTCGCAATGCTGCGGAATTCCGAATAATTTCTTTCAGGTGTCTACCATATAAAGCCGAACTTCCTTTTCTATGGGGAGTAATATTTCCTATTCTCTCCAACACATCTGCAGTTTCCTCTATCAAAACTTTGATACTTTCTCTCAGACTGGAGTTCTTGTTCGCAGTCATTGCGGACAAGTGGAGCGCAAAACATGCTGAAAATGACACCATGATTGCTGTGTTATTGGGCATGGACTTGAGAAGAGACTCTCCCTGAACAGCAGCTCTCATAACATTTAATGCAGATGACAGACCAGCAGAACGAAAGTAAGAAGAGACTGCCGGGAATTGGGTGGGGTAATTAAGGACGTTACTGTATATAGCAAGACGGGTATGAGAAACAAGGATTTCTACATAAGGAGGTAGGCGGAGGTCTTTGTTTCTCCCTATCTCTGGGGTCCAGGTTGAATACCAGTGATCGAAAAATTCATCGATTGTTTGTCGAAGAGTCTGGGCAATGTCATGGCCTTCTAATACTGTGGATACAGTCTCGTCGCAGGTATCTTTTATACAAGTAATGATTTTAGCCTATCACATCATCAGTCTTGATAAAAACTTCTCAAAAATAACGTACAATATCTCGCCGTAAAACAGACGAAGCTACAATCGATCCATCCCAGGCATCAGCGAGATTAGAATTGTGCCAAGCGTCACAAGTTGCAACGAAGGGAGATATTTGAACAGTAAAAGCTCTTCCTCGTGCTAAGCACACTCTGTGGAATAATTTTAGCTTATTTGAATAGTACTTTGAAGCAGGAAACTTACCCTCTATCAAGATTAAATAGAGCAAGCCATGTTCTTTCACGCCGGCGAATCAGTTTTTGGCCCCATCGCGTCATAGGGTCAACTTCAACAAAACCGTCCATGTCGAGAGCCTTCCTTGCAGTAATACAGTCTGACTTTGGAATGGCGGTTTGAAAATTGTTTGTATTGTGTACGATGATCTTGTTTAGAGATACATCAAGGCTATAGAGTGCGCCATTGCCATGTAAGAGCAAGTCTCGTCATCAGCCCAATGCTCTTCTGGCAACATCCATGGAATATTTATCATAAATGCGAGAACGATCTCTGGTGATCTATACCTCTTTGATATCACATAGTGAGCAAGGTGTTTACTGTGCTTGGAAAGACGCTTCGATAGCGCTTCTCCCGAAGGAATGAAAAGTGCAGATGCAGCTAACATGGAAGTCATGAGGAACGCAGATCTTGAGCGCACAAAGTCTGCCGTATGAACAGAAGGATCAAGGCCCCATCTTGTATGTGATAGATTTGTGTAGAAACTATTAAAATTATCAGCAACATTGACATAACCTTCCAGGGCAAATTCAAGGAGTTCCAATAGTTCGAATGAGCAAACTTGATATAATTTGAGAGCTTTCAATGTTTAGAACACTGTTTGTATTCAATACTTCAAACCAATTGAATATTCTGACTGAAGTGTGTTTTAACCAATTTCAACTTTCAGGAACTGCGCATTTCTCATCGATCAACTGCTGTTCGGACTATTGAAACTCCCAGTACCATATAGGCGCGACTCACTATTTTATAAGCAGAGTCACTTCCTCATGAGTCACCAAACCAATATCGATAGGGTCAATATCACTTCCAACATCAAGCCGTGGTTGAAAGGGTCCAAAGAATCGACGAAGCTCTCCTGTTTCTACTAACGGAGGAGGCATATGCAGTTGCTTGGTTGCAGTATCTGCAAGATCTGATGCCCGAGCCAGGAGCTGCAGAGGATTCTCAGCATCATCCAAAGCGACATTTCCCATCTCTATTTGACCGATTGACTCATGAGCCCTGGATAATGATAAATCAGTAGCTTCTGGTAACCCACTGTTCATGTCATTTTGGGGGATTGGCTGCTCCATAAGCTCCGTGGCAATTTTGTCAGTACTTCCAGAAACCAGATTCTCGGCCTCGGAGAGAAGAAACCGTAGACGTCGTTGTTCTTCCTGGGGTACATTATCATTCTTGGAGCTTTTCATGGCCTTTTCAAGCTGATGAACAGCTTTATCTAATCCACTCCGTTTGCTGAATTGAGGTGAGACGATGTTTAACAAGCTGGAAATATGTGGCTAAGGCTTACTTCTTGATCCCTTTTCGCCTTCCGACATGATAATCTGGTACCAGACATTCCGTATTGTTCTGACGACATCTTTGGCAATTGATGTTAGGAGGTTCACGAACACAACGAGTCTTGGTGCGTCGACAACTTAAGCATGCGGCTTGCTTAAGAGGCTTTTTGGAGATAATGTTATCATCATGTAAATTAGGTATTTCTGGCACCTGCACATTCCAATCATTCATTTCAAATGCGATTTCTGATGCAAACTACTGCGGAGGCTGTGGTAGTGACAAAAATCATTGGCGTACCCAAACACTACGCCTGGCGAAATTGCAAGACTTATCGGTTACAAAACATTCAATGGGTTTCAGATGCGATTTCATGGTTAACTTAAAGTCTAGCACACCGTTTGGTTATCAAACTACAGCTCAGAAATTGAGTTTTATAAAAAGGTGTGATAATATATACAAAGTTCATTGTACTGGAAAAATAATAATACATACAATTATGTTGTACGTCACCAAACATCGGCGATAATTCTAGTACCGAAAGCTTCATCTCGGCCCTTGATTTATCTCCTTCTCCAGTACGTATCTCGTCAAAGTGATCTCATGGAGCAATTCATTTTCCTTCTCAGACAATACTCATCACTGCCATTATGTCGAAACTTTCTCCCTCCTTGAAAGCTCTCATAAGTGCACCTTATGCTCGCCCAGGCTATGCACCTGCACCAAGAAATATCCGCTCCGTTTTCCAAAAGATTGAAGAGGAGGCTTCCGCGAACAATGTTGGACTGCCATCATGGCTAACGATCTCGGTACATCGATTCCCACCAATCTTCGAAGAATGAACATGGGAAACTGATATCTTTCAATGGCAGACAGCTGCGACTATGACCATGAATTCCCCCGATTCAATGCTAGAGCTCTTTCGACTTGCGACGAAGGATAAGGATCATGCGCATGCAGTGAAAACTGTGGAGCAGATGAGGGAGGTGGGATTGAAATGTATAGGTTTCAATGGGGTGAGATGGCATTATTATATACTAGATTGCTACAACAGATCCTAACAATACGCCTCAGATTCCTAGAACAATCAATGTTCTAGGTCAGTTCCGCGCAAGTCTACCAGATGAAATCATGAATTCGTTGAACAAAATACCGTCTCGGTAAGCCTATCGACACCCGATGTACCCCTCGAATGTCTGCTAACATACCACCAACTCACAGTGAATTGACAACTACAAATGTTAATGATGCCAAAGCCAGAGGCCGTGGGCTATGGGATTCTATCTATCGTCCCTTTGAAACAAAACTACTCAATAAACTTGCGGAATCGCATCCGGATCTCCCAGTCTTTATTCTGAATTCCTATTCCAGCCTCTTCACCGATCCTTCTGTCTCTTCACGACCGGTAAAGATTGGAAGAGTTCTTACAAGTTTGATTGGTATAACATGCTTGAGAGCACAAACCGGAGTAGGCCCACAGGTCACCAGTCACGTATTTGGTTTACGAAAAGCGTTTGAGGATGGTACATATAAGGCTGCAGGCGAAGAACCTGTAGAGGGAGGTGAATGGTTAGCTGGCGAGGAAGGAAATGCTTGGATTCTTAATACAGTAGATAAGATTGTGGAAGCTATTGGTGGAGAGAGTGGAGGAACTACATTTGCCCCTGGAATTAAGGCAAAATTGTAGATATGCTAGTGCATTTTTGTATATGATATGAAGTATGATATGGCAGGGCTTTAAGGTTATATTGAGTAATGATCTAGTGTCAACCAGTGATTTTGAAAGCGTCCGCATGTTTGATGAATTTTCATTGGTCTTATTATATTAGAACCGCGATATTACTGGTTGAATGTCACTGCGTAAATCTCTCCCAATAGTGCCGTTGTTCTTTATCCTCCCACCCCAAATTCCCAGCTTCAAGACCAGATTTTGCTGGCGACAAATATTGCAACGATTGTTGGCTTTTGGAAATGAGTTCCGCATTCGCGCTTTACTCTGACCTGCTTCAGATGGGTCAGGAAGAATCAGCAAGTAGTAAAGTATTTGTTCACCAACTGTGCTCAATAACTTTCTCGGATTCTCTTTCTTTGAAAGCGACGGAATACAAACCTAGAAAACAAGACGACACTGTTGAAAGCCGCAAAACAACACTCGTTGCAAATACATCAAACCTAATGTAACGAACGATCTTGATTACCATCTTACAACAGAAATCTCGCACACCTCCTGCCTTAAATAAATACGGAGGAAGGCTATCTTCTCAGATATACACTCAGATATCCCTTCTATGATTCACAGGAAGTCTGGTGCGGTACCTAGCTCTAGCTATTCTACATAGACAACAATCTTAATAGCATCCTCCGTCTAAGTTGTCCGAAGTCTATAAGCAGCCTCACCAGCATGCCATGCGAAATTGAAACACAATACTCGAATTCTTTTCACGGAGCTCAAGTAGGATCTTGAAAGGATTCCTATGAAGAAGCTGGTTAGACTCCGATATTGCGTTTGCGCACCGCTTTGCCCTATTCCGATCATGTAGTCTCAAGATAGCCTTCGCGCTTTCAAATCAGAAATGTCATTTTGATTTTGAGTGTCGAATTCGAAATTGGAGCATCGAAGAGAGACATACTAGCACGACAGTTCCCGATATTCGGGGAGACGCCGGTTCCAGACCCCAGACTGTTGAGAGATAATCAGAATATCTAAGCTCACGCAACATTCCATTCCTTTCCTTTCCTCCACTCAACTTGTTTTTTTCTCCTATTAAGGGGTTACACGATGATTGTAACTAGGCACCTACCTAATACATTTTCAATGGCTGCAGCTAAGATGGCGAAACCAATCGAGAAAATTCACACGACGCGATAATACTAACAAGTCCTGTAATTTGATTGAGAATCGAAATATTTTCTACTTTCGATGCACTCTCATCTCATCTCATCTCATCTCATCTCATCTCATCTCATCTCATCTCATATCCTATTGCATCCTCTGAATGCTCTCTACTCCACGATCCCACAATCAGTGAAGAAAACAAACAACTGATCATACACATCTCTTCAATCGATTTCCAAGTAATCAACCAATCCACAATCCATAGTCTTTGATAGCCTCAACACTTCTCCTCTTCTTTCTCCTCTAAATCTCAATCTCAATCCCATCCATCCATCTAGCCCTACAAACCAAACCCCTAACCCTGACCCTAGCCCTCAAGTTTCCTTCTCATTTCTCAATACCCATTAACCACCACACATACCTTCATACCCTTACACCCTTACACATCATATCAATCCCACAGTGTTCCCCATCCCCATCCCATTTCCAACTCTCATCTCTCAACTTTTAAACATTGAAGTCCGTAAACTCAACCTCTGAAGAAAGGAAGAAGCAAAGGTACCAGTAGAGAAGTACCTTCCCGACTTGATACTAATTGCATCATGATGAAGACTTGTTTACCAGGAAAGAGATCGTTCATATAAATGACCAGAGCGAGGAGCCTGTATACTTTACCACCCGAGCGTAGAGATGAAACTGATCATCATATAGCAAGAAGAATCATAGATTATTACGAAATATTATTATACATTGTATACACCTCTTGTACGCGCTCTCTCCTATCCTTATTAGCCATCTATAAAAAGATGCAATTGCCGAGTCCCTCCGCCATGCTCGTTGCCTGTACCTATTTACCCATTACTCTAATAAATACCTGGGATGATTCTGTATCTAACAATCTCCTTGTATCTCTTCCAGTCCTCGCCATACTTTCTCTCACATTTCTCCTCGTCTCTCATTTCTCTATGCACTAACAAGACTCCAAAGTAAATCACATAGAAATATGTGATGATCATACCCCAGCCCCTAGCTGCACCTTGCGTGACTTCTGTATGTACTGCTGGTCCACTGTACACGAAAGATCCATCTGCGAGGGATTGACCGGATGTTGGGGCTACCGAGCTGTGGTTAATTAAATAACCAGCAATACCAGTAGGAAGACAATAAGACCAAGCCATGATCCAATCACCGGCATAGTTAATATGACGAGCTACACCCCACCAGCCGGAAATGAGAAGCTTGGAGCCAGATTTTGTCTCGAGGTACTTAAGATGTGCAACACGGGGATCTGTCGGGTCAGTTCTAAAGCGGTTCTTCTCGTTATTAGCGCCACGGAAGATGTAGTATCCTGTAGCTAAAACTGCGAGAACGCCGCTGGTGCCAAAGACGCCAAGGGAAAGTGGGTAAACGGCAAGGTAACGAGCTTGAAGAGAATAGATGAATGGAACCCAGACTAAGTCTCCAAATGACAACATGAGTCCGAAGCCATCCGTGGTAATGTCCATGGTAGTGAGGATAGCATTTTCCATCCAGTATGAATCAAGCACATAGAGTGTTTGAAATGCTGTGATTAACACGATACTGTCGGTGATGTATCCGTAAGTCTTGTATTGGTGAGCAACAAATGCATAATCCATCAGAAGCCAACCCATGAGGCCTGGTCGTAGCTCACAGAATTCTTTGATATCAAATTCGCCAAGTAATGGGAGAGTCACTCTTGGGTTGAGTTCTCGTCCAATAAACCAATCATATAGCATATTTCCAGAATGACCACCAGCAGCCAACTCGCGTAATTCAGTGTTGCCGGGCTTAACACTGAAACTGCGGATGTAGACGAAAGTTGCGAGGCCGTAGGAGATGATGATGTTCGCTGTGAGAATTTGCAGGTAATTGTCGTAGATGAAAGTCCAGACTGGAAAGTCTGCTCCTTGGGCAATAGTTCCTGCAGCGCATAGAGCAAATGTAAACATTGTAGAAGACCAAGCTGTGCGATTTGTTAGCAAACGCTGTATCATTCATTCAATTGTGCATGTACATACTGTTGAACTTGTACTTGAGCTTGCCACCACTTGCGAGTTCGACACCCAACTTCTCTTCACCTGGCAAAACTCTGTGTAAAACCATGCTCAGAAAGTAGTAGCCTACTACTTTGAGAAACACATCCCAACTCAACAAGCCCGCAAGTCCATTTGCGGGCCATCCAACTTCTTGTTTAAGATTGTTGATTGTAAGCGTCGAAGGAGAGAGCGAAGAGGGGACTGGACAACCGGAAATGTCATTGCAGAGAAAGGTCGTCGCGTAGCAAAGAAGGGGCAGTCCGAAAGATATACCGAAAGCTCCTAATCTGCAAGACAATCAGTACATGTCGATGAGTCTGCAGTTGAAACGAGCTACTTACGGTCCACCAAACTCATACCCATGAGGCTCAGCTACTTTAGAGACCGTGGTCTTCTTGGGAGCCATGTTGAAGAAGTTGTAAAGCTTTCAATCAGGATGTGCTGGTTGAGAAGTTTCTGAAATGTGAATTGTTAAAGTATTCAGAAATTACACTCAACGAAGTTTGAGGAGTAAAAATTTGAAGATATATCTTCGACAACTTCAAATCGTCATATAAGAGCCAAAAGAGGCACCGCAAAGTATAAATTATCGTGCCATTCGGATCTGAAGATTCCGTTCAGAATAATTGATCCTTGTCACGCGTCCATATTGCATTGATGATCGAAGAAGAGCTGTTTTGGGAAAGATGGAAATTGGAGATGGCCCAAGCTTCTTTCTTCAGAGGCAAAATAGGAAACCGAGATACCGTCATGAGGGAGGGGGTTTGATTGAGTGAAGGTTAGAGTGAAGGTTGACGTGAAGTCTGAAATGAAAGATTGAGCGAAGGTTAGAGTGAAGGTTGAAGTGAAGGCTGATATGAGTACAATAGTTACTACTTCCAGTATACTACAAGCTGTTGAGTTCTGTTCAGACACTCCTTTCTTAATGTTTACATGTTTACTTCGGCGTTCAATCATTATAAGAGGCTTTCTGCAACAAACCTCGTCATTGTAAAGAAGCGGGAGTCACTCATTCACTGTATTACTATCCAGGTGGGTATGTCTACACTGCAGATATTGCATCTCAGTATATCGGATAATAGCCGTGTCCTCAAAGACTCTCATCTGCTTGAGGTCACTGTATTCCAATCCCAACTTTATTATCAATAATCAATAATGCATGAGGATTATCCGTAGAGATAGTGTAAGTTTGATCGATTCTCCCTGAAGGATTTTGCTGAGGATGAAGTAGTATAGCAAATTGAGTATGACCTACCTACCTGCTTATCTACCTACTATCTACTACCTACTGCCTACTACCTACTACCTACTACCTAGGTATGTTTTGCGAATCCTGATCTCTCTATCGAATTGTGTCTTAGAACGACCCAGTCCCAATCAACTTCAATTGATGGTGATGCCGTACCCTACGTGAATTGACTAGGTATATTTCGACAAAAGATCTAGATTTTGGATAGCTTGACTGTACAAGCTGCCTGGTCCCGCTGCTGCGAGCACTCAGATAGATATCATAGGCTGGAGACTGGTGAACATATGGAGCTTGCTTTGCTGGAATATACGGAGTGTCATGTGATATCAAAGTTTAGCGCGTTTTATATCCTTGTTTACTTCTAAGGCTTGCCCGAATGTCAACAAACCCCCCAGAGCTTTTAACTAGCGTTTTCGATTTCATCATTCAAATCTTGGAACTCCAACTACATACATACATGATACAATTCATTCGTATCATTGATAAGGGTGAATTTGATACTTCTTTTTGAACACCTCATTGTTTACAACTCATTGTAAATACATTTGTTGGATATACCATCGACTGATATTCAATCTATTTTGTTGCGCTATTAATTATGGCGTCTCCTCCGCGTCGTCGTTCTTCTCGGCTTCGTACTCCAGCTAAAGTATGTATAGCTTTCCTATTATCATTGTAACAAGTGTTGGGACTATGTACCAGGTACTTATCACTTACTCTAGACACTGCAAAACACAACCCCCCAACTCACATCTCTTGCCGAAGATGATGAAGGTCCTGCCTATCCTTCCCTCCCGAACCTTTCGTCTCCAGTTCAAGCGCCCCAAACACCAGCTACCTCCGGTCGCATTGTCCCACCTAGAGAGGAAATGCATCCATCCATGACTCATAAATCTACCACACAAAAGCCCGACTCGGGACTCCGTCATGGCTTTGTTGATATCAATGCCAAGGGTGACGATCAGCCCTCTGGCGTTCAACAAAAAACTCCCTCAAAGATTGGTATCAGCTCCCCAACTTTCGATTTTAGATTCGCTCGACCTGCACCTGTTCTTGGCCCCGAAGCTCAACGCATGATGGATGAACTACGTGAAGAGGCCCTCCGTATCAAAGCTAAGCTTGCTGCGGAGCGAGAGATGGAACAAAGAAACAATCCAGAGGGTAGTCAAACGGGAACCCGAAGAATTGCGCAGGCGAAGGGCAAAGTCAGTAGATACAGCGATGTTCACATGGCAGAGTAAGTTTTGTTTGAAAGTTTTAAAATATTCAAAGGAGATTCAATATACGAAAGTAATTAAACATTTGAAGAGCCATAGCCCTAACTTCATACAGGTTCAAAAAGATGGACAGTATCGCCAATCATCCATCCTCCTTCAGAGCTCAGCCAGGCAGAGTTACTCCTACTGCAAAAGCTCTGAAGCGCACACAATCGAAGGCTAAGCTAGGTGACAGAGATGCCACTCTTAGCGAAGATTCCTCCCAAGATGCCGAGAGTGAAAGACTTGAAAATACTGCACCTGCCAAGCGTGCTCGTCAACGCATGACTGACGATACTTCCACTCAACGACCGATATCTCGTGGCAAGGCCGAAACGATGGCAATGCCTTCTACTCCCCGTCACAAGATCTCCAGCATTCCTGCGCATTTGACAACACCCACACAATCATCTTTGGCTCGTGCCCAAAGTGTTAAGCAATCTTCAACTCAAATACCCAGCTTGTCAAGATCACCATCAAAACCAAATTTGCAAAGCACCCCCCGCGGTATGTTAAAGTCTGCTACAATGAACAATATTGCTGGATCAATGACTGCACCAAGTAAATCCATGCTCCGAACTCCAAGCAGATTCGACCGTATGAAGTCTATCTTGAAGCATACAAGCTCCAGCTTCAGCTCAAAAAAAGCAGAAAAGGCGCCGGTTATTCCTTCAATTGCTAGGAGTCCAAGCAAGCTAAATCTTGCGAGAGACCTACCCTCTGTTCCCACAACACCTATTGGTGTCAGCCGTTCTAAGGGTATGAAGCATGTTGGATTCACGCCAGAGACAAAAAAGCACAGTGAAGCTAAGCACAACGAAACTATTGTTCCACAATCTCCATCTCCAGTAAAGTCCGGCATTCCTCGCTCAACATCAAAGTCCAATATGAAAATCACTTCCTCAATTGCTCCCCGCAAGCCTGCATCTCAACAAGGACCCACTGATGGACAGGCAAAAGATATTGAAACATCTGAAACTAAAGCAGTAGAATACCCTTCCCTCGCTGGAGTAAGACCCCTTCCAGAACCACCTCGTCAAGCTCCTCCTCCACACCTTCCTCCTTCAGTTCCCGGCACCTTTACTTTCCGCAGTGATCATACTATCAGTTTCGGTGCTTCTCCAAAGGGATTTGGTCCATCTCCTAATCAAGCTACTGTCCGCCAAGTCCGTCGAAGTATATTCCCTGATGCTATGCCTGGTAGTTTTCCTGATGGCAACAAGGAGAACACCAACCCTCCTGTTCGTGAATCGAGCAAAAAATCAACTAACCTTTCAGTTATGCCAACTGTTCCCCATGGAATGTCAAACAAGAAGCGTAGGAGAGTTGAGTCTGATGGCGAAGAGGAAACACGATCACCAAAGAAGCAAAAGGCTCCAGAGGGCGCTATGCTAATGGCTCCAAGACTTCAATCTGGAAAGAATGTTGTTGCCTCTTCGAATGCCACTCCAAGCCCTGCCAAAAAGAGAGGTCTGACTTTGAGTCGACTCAACATGCTTGCACGACCAAAGAGCCGAAAGTGATCGATCTGACGATTTTTAGTCGATGATAGTTGTCTATCATCGATTGGAGAATTTAAATTAATGGCAATTGCCCATTCATTCTTGTTTATACATTCATACGACTCTTGTATGTTCAGGATTTGTTTCTAATAGGATTGGAGTACATGGTTGGCGTCAACCTGGAAATATCGCATATTCATGCATCGCAAATTTGGGGATGTGTTTCATAGTGGCTGGATTTGCCTGGATTACTACATTAGGAGCTGTTATTATGTTATTCTTTCTCGATAACGGAGTTGCAAGAGATCATGATTCATGTTTGTGTAGTTAAGTCAAAACTCCAGGTTGCTCTTTCTTAATTAATGATAAATGAATAAAAAGCTACTTATTTTTAAGTTTTCCCTCGTACCTGCCTATCAGAAAAATGGTAACATGATTCTCCAACGCTGACTTTTGATTCCTCTCCTGTTCTCTTCTCTTTAAACAATATCAAATATACCAAATATACCTAGCATAGGGGCGCCGTTAATCAGTAGTCACTGAGACACCATGCTGGCACCTTTTTACATTCGTTTACTCTTTTTTATTCTTTGAACTATAACTACGCACTCTCGTTTCATCGTCGAAATTATTCATTCATTCGGCTATCCGCTATATGTAATACAACCCCAATTAGAATATTAGCAACACCGCTCTCGGGTTTGAATTCACGGTCCTCTCGAACGCGCAAATATGACCGGTCGTCAAGGAACACCTCGTCCAGCTACTTCAACATTCATTGAACTCCGTCCTCGCACTCGCCATACGATCTCTGTTCCGCCCCTCTCACTAGCGAGTACTGTGTCGGATTATCCAAAAGCGATTGGTGCCCCGATTGTTACGCCAATTGTTACTCCTCTCGTTCCTCATCATAGTCATACTTCCCATCCCCACACTCACCCAACACCACCTCGACCACCAACGCTTGCCCAGTCAACCCCAACCATAACCGCTCTCCGTACGATTCGAAAATCTTCAGATCCATCCTTTGTCTGCACGATATGCTGGTCTCCTCAATATTTACCTTCTACGCCGCGGGTTTTGGGGCGATCATCTAGAATCGTCTGTCATCAATGTTGGAGAGCGGTGTTGGATCTAAGTATATGTTGGGTTTGCGGGGAATGTATTGTAAGAGGTGATGAGGTAGTTAGTTTGGGATGGTGTTTTTGGCATCGAGGATGTTTTGGGTGTTTGCTTTGTGGGGTTAGGTTAGGAGAAAGGGTTTTGAGGGAGTGTGAAAGTGAGTGTGAGAATGGGAGGGGAAGGTATGGGAATAATGATGAGGATGGATGTGGAGATCGAAGGAAAGGAACGGAGTTGGATAAAATTCCACTTTGTGAGTGGTGTGAGGCGGAAACGAAGATTAAGGGGTATGGAGAAAAGAAGGTGTTGGAGAGGGGATTGGAAAATGTGACGAAATCTGATGGTGGGTTGACGAGATGTAGATTGGAGAAATTGGATGAGGATAAGGGGTTGGTAGGGAATTCGGATTTGAAATTGAATGGAAAGAATGATGTCGTGGTCGGATTAGATGGGGAAGAAAGGGAAGAAACGGGGCCTTCTCCAACTTCGCCAACTTCTAGTATTTCACCGACGAACATGACGATCAAATCATCGAAAGTGTCTACGATGAATGAAAGAGAAATTAGGAAAATCATACGGGATTCTTCTACTCCTCAGGTATGTATCCCAGTAAAACTCGGTCTAGCCATGATAAGCAATATTAACACCATCCAAAAGGAAGAAGTTGCACTCTTAAGTGACGCCGCCAAAATGGGCGTATCCGAAGACGGAAACCCAGACGACTCCACACATTCGCACAGTGACACTGAACCTGCTCATTTCGGCCAAACCGACCCATCTACTTCATCGTCATCAATTTCCTCTCCCCCATCAGACATCTACGTCTCCATCTACGATCCTGCCGGTCGAGCATTCGTGCCTAGTAAGACTAAACCGCTTCCAAAATGGATGTCGTTACTTCCGAATAATGTACATCGCGAAAGGGAAGAAACAGAGGGTGATGCTAGCCAGAAGAAATCGCGAGCAGCTGTTTCGAGAGCGAAGCTTCCAGAAGCATATGCAGATGGGGCTTCATCTAGTCATTCGGATGATTGTCCGGGAGATCATGGTCCGTTTACGTCGTGTCCAATGGGGGAGGGCCTGACGGAGGTTTCTCCTCGGGAACACTCGGAGCAGGTGACGCCTAAAGGTATTTTATTATTGTTCTTCTATTTCACATATTATTATGTACTAGAACGATCGATCTTGAAATATCTGACACTTCCAGACCGACTCTCCATCCGAGAACGCGCCAATTCTGCCTCTGAAAGCACGTCAGATAGTACCCGACGTCCATCCGCATCAACTCTTTCATCTCTCGCCCTTCCTAGCCCCCAACAGAAAGCATTCAAAACCACTCGTCCTCGCTCCGTCTCCATCGAAGAAAAGCTTCCCCGTCCACATCAACATCCCGCATCTGCCTATCGTCGTGCAAATCGCTCCAGCACCATTGAATCCGCCTGCATCAAACCCAACAGTCTAGTCCAAACCATTCCATACCCTGAACACGCACCGCGGGACGTTTCAGAAAGGCCACTAACCCCCTATCCCAAAAGCGACAGTCCGGATCCCTTCCAAACCCAGCACATTTCCTCTTCCTCATCCTCTTCTACTCCCCACCCAAACTCAAAACCCACCCTCCTACACTCCCCCCTCTCAAACTTCATCACACCCCGAAAAGGCTCTTGCTGCGGACTCAGCACCTCTCTCGAAAGCGCATCGGTAGGAGAAATGAAAAAACGAGAACGCGGAGAATCGAGTTTCGATTCCGTGTTTGAGAGTTTTCCGCGCCCGGAAATCGGGAAGAATAATAGTAATTATGCGTCGAGTTTATGTCGTAGTCCGAAATTGGGGTTTTTGGAAAAGGGGAATGAGTATTTGGAGTATGTGTCGGGAGTGATTTTGCCTGGGGGAGGAAGGGAAGGGGATACAGCGAAAGAGGTGGGGAAGGAAGGGATTGTGGAGAGGATTCGGAGGCAGAGGGTTGGAACTGTGAGGTATGTTATTTATTTATTTTCTGAATAAAAGAGAACTGTTTGGGGTTTCAGGGTTGGAGGGAATTATGTTGAAGAAGAGGATCTATATAAAATAGTCATTGAAACCACACATCCACACATACTAACAACACCCTCCCCGCAGTCTCGGCCAAGTAGCCCAAAACGTCAAGGAAGAAAAAGAAAGAAAGCGTGCGGAAACCCAGATTCAAATGGAATGGAATTGGCTTGAGAATGAATCTAAAAATCACATTCCAAATGCAACTGTGGAACAAGAAGCGAATGAGCAAGGGGGAGGAGTAGAAGCTTGAGACGGAATAGAGGGGTGAGTGAGGATGAGGTGGGAAGGTTATCGAGGGATGAGAGTAGGATGGGGAGGAGGAAGCGGAGAGGGACGAGTGGGGAGGAGAGGGGACAGGGGGGGAGTAGAGTGGGGAGTAGGAAGGAGAGGGAGAGGGAGAGGGAGAGGGAGAAGACAGAGAGGGGTAAATTGGAAAAAGGAGATGGTAAATGGAAAGGGAAGGAGAAGCCGGTAGAGGAGAAGGAGAGCCGTACAAAGGTTGAGGATGATGTTGGTGGTGGCGTTGATGAGAGTAGGGAACAGCTGAAGAGGGAATTGAAGGGGTTGTTTGGTCAGGAGTGATGTCTCCCGAAAGGTGGAATTGATGGTGAGACAGGGAGATTGAGATTGAGCGAGAAATATATTGTTATGGGTGGCTATGGATATGGATAGACTGTGGATAGTGCTACGAGTAAGAAATTCAATGAGAACCTGAGGAGACCTAGACAAAATAGACCAAGATAATACATATTGCGATTAATATTTTAATCTTTTTGACCGCTAAATACTTTTCAACTCCATAAGCAATATCGTTCGTTTTCGTATACGATTGCGACTATGACCCATTGTATGATGACAGACTCTGTAATACCAGGTATACTTTATGACTCTGGCAAATTCCTTTTTTGATACATTTAAAGCTCCTTCAAGACCTTCTTCAATTCCTCAACAACAGCATCACCGACCTCAACAGTCTTATTCGAGCCACCGATATCGGCGGTTCTAACTCCCTTTTCGATGGTTCTGCGGACAGCTTCTTCGACGGCTTTAGCTTCGACTGGGAGGTTGAGAGAATATTTGAGCATCATGGCGATGGAGAGGATGGTACCGATGGGGTTTACGATGCCCTTGCCACTGATGTCTGGGGCGGAACCTAGAGGAAATTGTTAGATCTGAACATGGAATGCTGATGGAAAGGGGCTAAAATAATAAGTGGCAAGGAAAGATAGAAACATACCGTGAATTGGCTCGTAGATACCATTACACCTGCTCTTTCCATCTGGGACACCACTCAAACTCGCACTTGGCAAGAGTCCAATACTACCAGGAATAACACTGGCCTCATCACTGATGATATCTCCAAACAAATTGCTTGTCACTACGATACCGTTCAACTTTCTTGGGTCTTTTACCATCAACATGGCCGCACTATCAATCAAATGATGTCCGATCTTCAATTGTGGGAACTCCGCAGCCATGACGTCGGTGACAGTTTTGCGCCATAACCTCGATGTTGCGAGAACGTTTGCCTTATCCAAACTCCACACTGGTGCTGGGGGGTCTTGCGCAAGGGCAAGGTTTGCTGCTAATCTTGTCACACGCTCGATTTCCTCTCTGCTGTATGGTTCTGTGTCCCAGGCTTTTCCATCTCCATCGTCCTCCTTTCTCTCTCCGAAGTAAATGCCTCCGGTCAATTCTCGCACAATACAGAAATCGACGCCTTCGCAGACCTTTTCTTTCAATGGGGAGATCTCGGTCAAGGTAGGTGATGCGAAATTACAAGGTCGGAGGTTTCCATATGTGCCCATTTGTTTGCGGAGAGCAAGGATTCCTTGCTCAGGACGTACTTTTCCGGTTCCCCATTTTGGACCACCGATCGCGCCAAGAAGAACGGCATCGGCGTTTTTGGCAGCTTCGAGAGCTTCGGTTGTGAGAGGCTCACCGTGGGCATCAATTGAGCACTGTATTGGGGATGAGTTGTCAGTATGGGATTTGGAAGCCAAGGAGCTTGTTAGTGGAGACTTACACCACCCAAGAGATGTTCTTGGAAATTGAACTTTCCAACGGATGGTCTATCGCTTTCTACAACCTTCAATACTTTAATAGCTTCCGCCACAACCTAATTAGAAGAGTCTGTTAGTATATTTCCTCATTCACTCGATCGATTTGCAGTTTTCAATGGCTGTGCAATACAATTCCCAACCCCATATTCTCTCCGCAAACAGGTATTGGAGCAACAAGTAAACAAACATACCTCAGGACCGCAGTGATCACCACCGAAAACCACAATATTATGAGTTGACATCTTTGCAGTAAGAAATTTCTTTTAATAAATATTCGACAATTATAAGTACAATGGGTATTTAAGAAGAGAGGAATGATTGAATTGTGTTGTTTGGGGACGAGAAAATGTTTGGGGAACAAGAATGACTTTATTGAATGCCCCGCCCCCACTAAGTCCGATTTCGGAATGAAGCTCCACGCCCGAACTCGGAAATCGGGACGTCGTCAATATGGGTAGGTGGTGATTGGATGATTTGAGGTTAGGGACAACACGAATATATCTCTGTATGTAGCTAGAGAAATTGAGCTTGAATCATGCGAATGGACTTGGAATATGAAGAGCTCTGGAATTCAGATATATTCAAAAACTCAGATGCTCTTCTTCATTCAGACCGATTCAGCATGTAAACAGGTTGACTATTGGATATGGATTGAAAAACATCTAGACAGTCTATACACGAGCTCGATGAATATCAGGTAGATTAAGGTATATATATATATGTATGCATTCATTTTGTGCTATTGCTGAGTATTTTAAGATTCCTTCTTTAAATCGTTGCACTCCTCCATACATACTGCAATAATCAACCCCAACTCCGCTTTATCCTTTCCCTTTTCCCCTTTCCCCTTTTGCCCTTCCCCCATTCTTTTCGGTCGTAAATCTTATTCTTGTATTATATCTTGGGAATCATGCATAGTGACTTTGATCTGTATTGTATATGCTCTTTGAAAGGGGGTATCAGTGTTGACAAACGAAAATAGGAAAAAAACGCTGCTGGTAGATAGGTGTTAAAAACAAGTGGTTTGAAAAATGCCTTCCATCTGATGGTTTTTCTTTCGGTGGCAGGAGTAATCCAAGGTAAAATAAAACAAAAAGGCTGAAGCTTAGAATTATGACCCATCAAGCTCCGAATCTCATAGTTTGATATTTGAGATATCAATTCGATGTTTAATCAACGAAATGATCTGAAAGATTTGTGGGCAAGGGGAGAAGAGGGTAGACCCCTCTTCTCCCTTGCAGACTCTCGCACACGACCGTTCCGCATATTTGGTGTCAGGGCACAAAAGGCACATATGTAGACCTTTGGGAGTGTCCTTCGATCTGGCATATTGACACATTGTCCATGAAGCCAGTTCTCACAAGACTCACTTGAAATGAATTAGACAATGTAAGCTGTGATAGTAGTAGTGAACTCACCATTGGATCATGAAAGAGTCCCCCTCCGCATTGTTACAGATACACCGAGTAGTACCACTCCTCGAGCTGGATGGCGTTGCTCCATCTGGGGAATCATTAGATGAAGAAGTATATTCTGCATAGCGACCTGGTCTAGGGGTTGTATCGGAGTGTAGACGAAGATGTCTTCCTTTTTTTGACATTTGTTGATTACTTCGACGCTCTCTGACAACCTTCCGCAAAGCAGAAGCTGCATCTCCGATCTTGACCTCATCGAGGACTGTCTCTGCCTCACTCATCTCATCGATACTCGTGTGCTGACCCGAAGATCGACTATAGCCGCTTGTACTTGTGCTAGGTCTGCGAAAGTCACTAGAGGAAGCATCGAATAGATCGAATCTGGGTGGTCTCTGCTGTGGTAGATTGAAAGAGTTGTTTCGACTTGGAATGATGATTGGTTCGTCATCAGTAGAAGAATCATATTCTGACTCATAATCAATGACTTGAGACGATGACCGTCGCAAACTTCTCACCGATTCATCGTCAACAACAACAGTAGCTCGACCATTACTACTAATGGCGAGCTTGACATCTCGTCGAAGTTTTGGTAATGCAGCTGGAGATTCAGGGATAGAAGTAAGATTTGGATGGCGCTGCTGTTTCACAGGAGATAAACGACCCGAGTTAAAGCGTGGTGGTTCTTGTCGAGAATGTTAGCTTGAAATCAGGAAATAAGAATATCTGAACTATACCACTACGACGTTGATCCCTATTACTCTCACTGACACTCCGTCGAGGACCAGGCCGTGCAGACCCCTTGACTGGTGAGCTAGCAGTTCTCCTATCTATCCGATACCCCATACTACTCTCTCTGAAACTTCTTGATCGACGAAGTTCTTCTTGCTCGCGAGTATATTCTCGAACTTGATGTTGATACGGTTCGAGTTGCTCTAGATTTCGAATCGGACTTGTAGTCGCTCTTGATGCTGGCAAGATCATATCTTCTAATCCTCCTTGGGATGTACTGCCTGTACTAGGGCGACTGTATATTATACCAGGATCGACCACGCCAGGAAAATTCTCCATGGCTATTGAATTCGAGGTTGCTGTCGCACTACTAAAAGCTAACAATGGAAGTGACGTAGGGAGTGCTGAAGTTATTGGCAAGGAAGTTTTTGAGGCTATCTGTCTATGTCGTTTGCGGGGTTCGGCTTCAGCTTTGGATTCGCTTGATTTCTGAGGCGATAAATTCACTGATTCTTGAAACATCTGGTTGCTTCGTCCCCAATCAATAGAATTGCTTCCTCTATGACCTTGTTGGAAAATACCCGCTGAATCAGTTGAGAAATCCAAATCCATACCATCCATACTAGTATCCCATATTGCTTTATTACTTGCAAAGAATGGGGTTGATGCTGGTGCAGTCATTGGATAATCGAATGGATCCATAGCTGTTGAAGATTGTGCCATTAATTGAGGATGGTGGTCATTTGAGTCAGAAGACTCAAAGCCATTACCTTGAACTGGAGCATTGTTCGATACATTGAATATTTTTGGGGCTAATTTCCTTGTACCTTTTCCAATAGAATGTGGAGGTGTAGCAGTTTGGCCACTAAAAGGATCATCCAACCTTTTCTTTGACTTTTGGGGGGTCTTGGAAACATCACTAAATCGTGCTCTGGAAGCAGGTTGCGGGGCAGTTGCAGCAGATATCTGTTTGTTGGGGGATGTGGTATGAGCTATTGCAAAACCAGAATTTGGTGACAATTGATGCATGTGCATTCCCATATCTGACACCATATCTCCCTCAACATTATAATGTCCATTGTGAGTCAGGGATGACAGTGCTTGAGCTGTTGAAGTATCAACAAACGGCCGTTGCCCATTGACGAGACGCCCAGGTGTTGCGTTGAACATAGAATAATCTTCTGCAAATTGTGGGGTCCATCCTCCCTGGCTCCCTTCATAACTTGCTTGCTGCTCCCAACTCATTGCAACTCCTCCCGTCCGCCCTTTTGAAATGGGGTTCGAGAATCAGGTCTGGCCAGCCTCCTTCTATACTGCATACATTCAGACCCCAGTGTTTCAATCCTTTTGTTGATGTGACTTCTGATCCAATCACTCCAAAATCCCAAAGCCTTTATCAATTGATAAAAGATATTTCCTGATAACAAGACTTTTTCTGCGAAGTGGAGCTCTTTGAGTTTTGCTTAGCAAATGTAATTCTCCTTGATCTACCCGCAGCCAGCCGCCCGCTCCCGAAACGATGGGTTCCCGAAATTTGTTGCAGAGGCAGTTGAAGATAACTCGATGAGAAGGACTCGATATAGTTGCAAAGCACTATTGGTATCGAGGGCGTGAATAATTTACAGCATGGCAAGGATGTATATCTGTTTGATTTTTCTTGAAGCTGGTTTCACATATGGTCAGCAAAGCTTCTAGAGGATGTTCAACAAGGGCATAGTAGATAACGTCAGTACTCACCAGAACAATCAACAGACAATTGCCACAACAACAAATATTGTGAAGAAAAGATGCCAAATCTGAGGTCAGAGGTCGAAATTGAGACGTCTACTCCAGCTACCAAAATAGCGGGGATTGTTCCAGGCAACCGGAAGGTATATCCACTCTCAATTCGCTACAGTAGCTACTTCAGGTGCTCTGAAGTCGAGTCATACAAGGGTTGTCCAATCCAGGGAAGATCTCTTGCTCAAATAGAAGGTACAAGATCATAACGAGCTTCATTAGTGATTGTTGTAAAACATTACAATGACTAGAGCTCTGGTCTATAGTGTTGCTCGAGGGATGGGACAATACGGAAAACACCAAGACCTAGGTAGGAGGTATGTTGGAGATCTTCAAGTGTCTAGAAGATCAAATGAAAGTGGAGGCAAGCCTTCTTTGGTCGGAAATGCTGAAGATGGCGGTATAGAAATGGAGTGTTGCTGGGCCAATTCGACACCAAACGCAAGCAAATTAAAATAGTGTGAATAGTGTAAAGACGGCGTGAGAGTGAAGAGAAAGTAGTGGGAAATAAATCAAGGAAACTTTTTTCGACCGAGCGAACGAAGGGGGTTTCCTTCCCGTTCTGAGATATGGCCGGGGCGTTTGAGCCGGATAAGTTTGGGGGGTGTGTGAAGGATCTGGGCTGAGAGAGCAAATGAATGGATACAAATCAAAGATCACATATTACCATGAGACGAGAGAGCGGATGAATATAATGATGGGATTGATGGTGCAGTTGTAATTATATCATAGATGTAGACATACGAAAAGAATGTAAAATCAGCACGCGAATAGATTGTATTGTCTCTGTGTGTACGAGGTATCTACAATAGCTGTGTTGTATTGACTTTGAAATGGCGCCTTGGCACTTCTACACCTGCCTGTGCTTCAGAGATACCTAGCAACCCATCAGCATCACCAGCATCACCATCATCACCATCATCACCATCATCCACTTTCAACGGCCCTGAACGTCCGTCCAATCAATTTATGCTGTCTTTTGAGGGACAATTAGTCATAAATCTCCAAATGTCCGATCGCTCATATCGTGATTGGTGATATTTTATCTACAAATTGCTGCGTACCCCAGTTTCTCATACTCTACACCATTCTTCTATACCATAGTAGGCCAGCTTCTCTACGGGCCAAATGTTGTATCTGCGATGCAATAGGATCCATGTCCATCTGCTGCTGGTCATGTGTGCTAGATGAATTTGACGATTGTGGGTGCGATGTCAAATACATTCATGTAGGACGTTATGGTGAGGTATACAAGTTCGATAGAGTTCAGGCGTGGGAGAGAGAGGTGCTGCCTGGGTATTTCTAGAGAAGCTTTTGAACTAACAGCATCTGTGAGATAAAGCCTCAGAGGGGAGACAAGGTCGCTGCAAATGCTAAGAGGAAACTCATAAGGCACTTTTGTCTGCTGGTGGATGAGGAGTACAAGATGGCATGCTATGTTCTGCTCTCCGGACTTTGGACTTTCCGTATCCGTGGACATCATGTTCAGAGGAATTGTCTTTTTTATTGGCGGGCTATTCCTCCAGCTCAGAAAGCTCCTAAAGTTCGTGTATCTCTCGTGGCATTAATATATATCTAGTACACACTCTCCAATGCAGCGTAGAATTGTGAGGTGAGCACCTAGGGAAAAGGTCGGTACTCCGCTGTTCTCCCGTCAGTCACATGAGAATCACGAGACTTGCTGATATCAATCACACAAATCAGCTTAAATATCCGTTGCCTGTCTTGAGACTTTAAGGAAGATTTTGGTCTGCAAAAAGGATGCGACACTTGCAAGGCAGTCGATTTGGTGCGTAGCTTTAAGCACATACCCGTTGTTTACGTAGCATTAGCTATAGATAGACTGAATCGATTATCAAATTCCTAGTACTATCCGTTGGTTCTCGACATCCGGCCAGCATCTCTTTCTTCTGTCCGACAAAGATACGACATCACCAAGGCGTAATAGCATACGAACACCGTTGTCAAATGGTAGCCATTAAGAAGTACTTTTATATTCTCAGGTTGCAAATCTTCGCCACAGAGTAGCCATTTCGTTCTTTTAAATTTAACCAACTAATTGACATCATCTACAAAACGTTCTTCAGTACCAAAAATACCCTTAGAACCAACCCCATCACAATAAGGATCCGTCATGATATCAACCATTTCCGCCCTATTTCCAGGGTCTAAGTTTGTCATTCTCAGTATCAATCTCTTCGCGTCTTCATTAAGATTGGGATAATCAGCTTCAGTCCATTGCTAGAGAGGCTCATACCCTTCAGCTCGCTCCTCATCCTGTTCAATCATTTTCCAAAGATCCTTCAAGAGCTCGCCTGCTTTCTCATCATCCACATGCTTTACAAGCACATCCGGAAGCGGCCCAAAGTTCGACAGTGACTTGTGCAAGATTACCCGCTCCGATTCTACAGGTAGACTCTCAAAATCGGGGTGAAAGAATGCAACCCCTGTGAGCACGAAAAGACACTGAAGAGAACCATATTACTAGAAACTGGGACTCTGTAAGGATTGAATTTGACTTGCCAAAAGTCCGAAAGAGAACACCTCCGAATGCTTCCCATACCCCTCCCCAGTTGTCCTTCTGGACTTTGCCACATCACGTTTCCTATCTTATGGTTTAGAAGATGCGTGCCTATGAGTTGCAAAGCACAATCTAAATCGCCCAGTTGCATCTTTTCAAGGCAGAATTTACTTTCCATATCAACAAACCAGTCGATGAAAACGTTGTCGGGCTTCACATCTAGAGTATTAGAACAAAGTCGGGTCAGAGCTATGAGAAAAAGTCGTGAATGGGTTAAGATAGACTACCAAGGTGTATCCAGTTTCTCGCGTGCATATCTTTCAATGCCAGGCCAACCTCTTTGAGGATCATCTTTCTTGCTTGCAAAGGAAGAGGAGGACAGTCGTTTGTCATTTCAAGCACGTTGGTTGTGGCATAATTGTAGACAAGTACTCGGTTCTCCTTGTCTTCATCTACATGATGTCGTATTTGACGAACTTTGACGAACTACTTTTTGAGCTCTTATGAATGCTTAAACATCGATCGGGTAATAGGCTTCAATACGAAGGCCGTATTGTCCTTTCTTAAGCCTCGCTCAGGTTGGCCTGGTACAGCTGGTCATTTTTACAACGAGAAGCACGCCAAATTGTGACCTCGGAACTCACCCAGAGGCTAGATGGATGTTGAACTCCGGATCTTTGTTTGGGTGTTTGTAGATGATACGAACCGGCTTATATACCTGACTGGAGCGGCCAACGAGTGTTGAGATCATTCTCGCACTCTTGAGAGGACGGGCATGATTTACAATCATATAATTCACGATTAACATCATATAAGAAATCAACAGAGTTGACAGGAAAGGAGAATTGATCAATCTCTATAGGTTTACGATGCTCGATTGAGTAGATAGATAGAGATTAGAGTGTCTTATACTGAGATACAATAGGGATTGAGGGTTTGTTTACTACATGATTATTCGAAAAAGACTCCACGGATGCGATACATACCCCATCTCCAGAACAAAAGAGTCACCCAACATTAGGTTTGTCTCATCTACTCGAGTAACCAAAATACTTCCAATGACAACAACAACCATTTTGACTACTTGGGCAATGTTGACCTCAGATTATCGTACTATCATCGCCAGTTTCATTCCAAGAAAGGGGCAACTGAATCATTGGCCCATCGCCATTGTAATGTTGTCACAATGCTTCCTTTTGCCTTTTCTTGAATACAGCCTAATGCACCTAGGGGCGCCTTCGCGAATCCATGTCCGATCTGGAGGAAATACACTTTTTCCCAATTACAAGCTCTCTCTTACTTACCTAATGATCGCTTCTTCTACCCCCTCGCTCCAATTGCATTCTTATCATAACTTCCGCTCCTGTATCCGATATCTAGATAAACGATATAAAACTCTCATGATAAAACGGCACAGCAGCCATCGAACTTTCACTAGATTCGTCACGATAAATTACTTGTTTACTCATCTTGACCAACGCATGAATTGACGTTCAAGTCTACACCTCTAGCGCCTTCATTGATTCTCTCTCGGTGAACCATCGGCACGACTTTACTCCATCGCACGAGCCCTCTGACTACAACCAACGTCAAAAAAATCCAATATCAAAAGATACCTTGATCTATATTTTCTCAATATGAACCACACAATTGGTACATTAGTTCTTCTATCTGAAGTGCTTGCATTTACTCCGTATCCTCCATCCCGCTTTCATCCCATGATCCACACGCACATCCTTCTCCGGATCTCATGGTACTGTATAAAATCTTACCCACCAGCACAACGCATAAATCTCCATATCACTTTCCCATCTTCCTTCCCTGCACGATTACTACAACTATTTTTTCGCCATCCTCGATCCCTCCAGAAATCTTCGTCCCCTGTCTTGTATTTTCTTATCGAGACTCTCTAGCCCGCCTTATGACTCTTCTAGCGTATAGTCACATCTCACACCCTGTCTTTCGTACCGTTTCTAAGTTCTTTTGGGCATCTAGTTTCAGTCTGGCTGCTTCAAACCCTGTATTACGCCATCTCTTCCGAATTCTTCTAGCTTTCCAGCTAAATATGTTCTACATTATCCACTCTTTCAAGATCTGACAACTCTAAGCCCTATATCCGTATTCCTGCTAAGATTCCCCATTACCTATCACCACCATTCCCATCATTCAAATTACCAACCACCTCCATATCTCACACCCTTATCCCTCAACCATACCACCACACACACCACCAACGGCATAACCTCTCAAACTCACCCCAACCCACTCCATCCACTTCACGCGTCCAGTTTCCTCGCACTCGCACTCGACTCGTACCAACTTCTGAACCCGTGGAATTTTCGGACGAAAGAAAAAAGACCCTTCATTCTTCAATCTCTATCTAACAACTGCACAGTCTAAAAGCCTCAACTTCACACACTCTAACGATTGTTAGTATCTTCGTTATAATCATATAAGCGCTTCTTCGAAGCACTACTCTAAACCTCACACACCCTAACAAAATCCACCAAACACTTAGAAACATATTATACGCGTCCGATGAATAGCACTTCCCTTATCCACTATCCGCCATCTAGAAAAGGCATATGAGCCTCTAAACACACAATACATGACATGTATACTAGCAGAACACGTGTGAGCATCCAGCAAGTTGACCAGTCGAATCCGAAAATAAACTATCTTCCACAACTCCGAATCATTGCAAGCCCTACGACCCAGACCCCCCCATCCCCAAATCTAGGATCATCCAATAATGCTTCAACCCGTCTGCTCACTAAACACCTATCAACACAACCGTACAGTCAGCTCATCATGTGATATCACAAATGTATCATCAATAAAGTCGGTCGATGGCATCTAGATCACCATGATATTATAGACAGAAATCAATAACAAAACCCAAAACCTACCTGGGTATATTTCTTCTCCACCAATCCCCTTCCCGATACCCCGAGTTTTGTCCATGCCCTCCTTTCAAGTTCCCTCTCCCCAAAAAGTATACTATGTATTCTATACCTAGTATACCCCAGCAAGGAACGATGAAGTATAGTATTCCTTCGCATGCAAGCGAGTCATACATACATGGTATTTTGATATCTCGATTGGGAAAGCTGAGTGTGGTGGGTAGCTGAAGTAGGAAAAAGTAATGTGTGTGTGTGGCAAAGAAAGTGAGGGGGATCGTATCTTAACATCTACAATCGAGAACTAGATGACACGATGGAGAGGAAAGTGCAGTCAGTGACAGCCAGTGTATGCAAATTAGATTTTACTCATAGATCATAGAATTAGAATTTGAGAAACAATCACCTAGCTGATCCTGTCATTCCCATCTATCTATCTGTTCAAAATTCAAATATCCACCGTCCAAACTTCAAAATGCAGAAAGTTGAGACTCAATATAGAAGACTTATAAGTGTATTTCTCATTTCATGTTCCAAACGCCTAAACTAAATTGGCCACTGCACGCCTGGCTGTCTGCCTCGCGCCCGCTCATTTTGCATGCAAGCGCTCAAATCTTATGATAGGACTCTACTCTATCAAACCCATCGCTATGCTACCTAACCTAACCTAACCTATATGATGCTATATACCGCCCACCAAGGAAATTCCCATCTCAATGAAATCCCCAAAGACAAAACCGGTACCCAAATCAATTATTTTTCCCTCTTCTATTTGCGCCTCCCTTTGCCTTCCTAACCTCCCTAGTCTTCACTCTTTCTGCATCTGCAATTCGCGACCGTTTTCTTCTCCTTTCTCGTAAAATCATAACACACGCCTGCCTGCAGATACTCGTCTTGTGCTTATAATAAAGCTTGTACTGTGAATATGAAAGAAAGCCGTTTTTGTGCCCCAAGTCCAAGTTTTCCTTTTCCTTTTCCTAGCTTGCCTGTCCTGCGTCTGCCATACCTTTCCTAGACCATCTCACCAACCGATCCCCGACCCAACAATCGAGCTCCAAAAACGAAAGTGAAATGAAACAAGTGAGAGAATAAAGATGCATGGTATCCCGCCCGGCGCCTTACTACTGGATCTGTAACTGAAGATCTCGCTGTCTCCTGCTTCTTAGATGCTTGTCTGCCTTTCTCCGCTGTTGTCAAAATAAAGAAAATAAATGCGATCAAATAAAAAAGTATAATATGTGTTTCTGAAAGAAAGTAGAAGAAAAAGAGAAAATAAAAAGTCTTTCACCATGTACACAGAATCAAATCATGTAAACACAAACTCGCAGATAAGAAGAAAAGAGAATATTTTAGATGGAGAAGAGGATAAAATCATCATATCATAGGACTCAAGCCATCTATCGGACTACCTAAAGCTGACTTTCTCTGATACCGAGGTGTCGAAGTAACACTAGGTGTCATTGGTGAAGATTGGTGCGGATTCGAAGTGATAGAATCGTGGGCTTTTGATTTCGCCATATTCGAAGCGCCGAGCGCACGAGAGTGGCTAGATTCACGTCGGCGTTTCGGTGCATCTTTAATCTTCGGATGAGTGTGACACTGTTAATTATTCATGTTAGTCTCAAGTTCATTTTAATTGATAGGAAGAAATTAATAAGAACCCGCTGATTCCAAATTCTCCGATATGAAGTGTGAAATACGGTGTGTGCTCGGACTCTTGGGGTGAAAAGATGTGAAACTTACTTTGTAAGCATGTCGGAACCAAGTGGTTCCCTTTTTCTTGCTACTGACTAGAGCCACCCATTCATTACAGCTTCCACACAGACCCTCCCATACATCGGGATTTCCGTCCATGCGTCGCGTTTCTTGCGGCTCTTGAAATGGCTGTCCAGTTGCGGCTGAAATACCATGTGTGAAACTTTTATCATACTGCAGGTCATATGTTAGTAACAGTTAATTTTGAAAAGAAATTCTGGCCCAAAGCGCCGGAGAATACATACCCAGAATGCGCTGTTCTTCAGTACGAGCCATCTTCCCGGTTTGCAAATGCCACACCATCCTTCTCTCTTGTTTCCATGGCCCCGCACCCATCTTGGTGTGTATAAATCTCCGTCAAATCGTAGTTCTTGCTCGTGAGGAATGAGATCAGGATCCGATGGGTTCATATCTTCTGGCGGAGGTGCCAACTGCTCTTCATGTAAGGATGCGTAAAGATCAGGGGGGTCACTCAAATCCGAATAGTGAGTGTGCAATGCATGTGGATCTGCGTTACTTTGAAGCATGCGGAAGAGACCGTGAGAAAGCAAAGGAGGTGGTGTGTCAAATTGATGAGGCTCATGGTATGAATGAGAAGGTAGAAGCATACTGCTCCGTTGATAAGCTAGATTGTTGGCCATCATAAATGGGTGTTGTTGCGTCTGTAAATTAACCATGTTGAGAGGCAAGTGAGGTTGAGATATCGTTGGTGAAGAATGTCGGGATGACATTTGAGGTTGGTGAGGAGATTGAAATGACTCTTGACCCTGATGGTAGACGAATGGAGAAGGGCGTCTACTCGGTGCAGGAGCGTATGATCCCGTAGACCACCTCTTGCTTCTATTGCTATCCATATTATATGGTGCCGAGCGCATACTTGGCCGAGGTGAGGGGGATGCTCTGCCTCTACTTTGAGTTCGTACTAATTCGGATCTGTTTTGTGGGGTCATTCTAGGGGATGCTACTGGTGATAATTGTGTTGATGACATCAAAGAATTTCTATTTGATAGAGGCGGGTAATCTGAAGTGAAAGAAGGTGCTTCTGACAATGTAGTTGAAAAGTCCTCGTATGATGGCATTTCAGAAAGAGCTCCCGTGGTTGACAATGTGAAGGAAGAGCCAGACATCCTCCGCGAACTCCATGGTCGCTCCA